CATCCAGTGCCTTATCTACCACACCACTTGCTAGCCCCATTGTCCATTGTTTTTTACTTTATCATAGTACATGGTCCCATAGTTTCTTCCTCTTAGTTTTTAATCTTTTTGGACATAGGTTGTGTGTGCTAGCTGGAAAGAGACAGACAGAGAGAGAGAGAGCAGGAAAGTGAGAAACCATCCCCTGTTGGGATTGCCAAGCTGCAGTCCTCTCTCCTCCATTCTCCTCTTAGGATTTTGGGCACAAATGCACATGTGCTTGGTGTTTTTCAAGCTGCTGGACTGGGATTAGGCCAACTGCCCACTCTGCCATGTCAGATCCAGAGTCATAACCACTATATTGCCTGCTGGCCCACCTTTCCCTCTTATTCACATGCATTCTTATGTCCATTAAAAATCTGTCACAAGGAGCTGGCAGATGATGTGGTCCTTAAGGTGCTGGACTCCCACATGGCTGACTGAAGTTTGAGTCCTGGACCTGGCAGTTTGCTTTCTCACTTTTGCCTTCTCTCCCTCTGGTCAAAGTAAACAAATAATAAATAAAATAATTCTTAAAATTTGTCATTAATTCCTTCCTCAAGCAACTCCTGGTATCTACAATTATTGTATCTATTTCTATGCTTTTGAGGCCTTGAGTTTCTGCCATGGAGCGTGGACATTTGGCATACATTAAGCAAGGACATATAATATTTGTCTTTCATAGTCTGGCTTATTTCACTTAGCATTATATCTTCTAGGTTCATCCATTTTGTATCAAATGAAATAATTTTATTGTTCTGTATAACTGAGTAGTATTGCATTGTGTATGTGTACCATATTTTCTTAATCCATTCGTCATTATTGGGGCACTTCAGTTGATTTCATGACTTAGCTATTGTGAACAATGCTACAATAAACATGGATGGGCAAATGTCTCTCCGATTGAGTTATTTTCTGTCATTTAGGTATATACTCAATAGTAGAGTTGTTGGCTCATACAGTCGTTATACTTAGAGATTTTTGAGGACTCTCCATACTGTTTTCCACAGTGGGCTTACTAATTTACATTCCTATTAGCAGTACGTAAGGGTTCCCTTTTCTCCGCCATGCCACCAGCACTTGTTATTCTTTGTTTATTTGATCATGGCCATTCTGACTGGGTTAGGTGATACCTCATTGTGGTTTTGATTTGCATTTCCCTGATGATAAGAGATTAAGAGATTATATTAAATAGATTAAATATTTCCACAATGTATACACAGATAAAAACATCACATGGGATCAGCAGGTGCCATGGTGGTTAAGGCGCTGGACTCCCACATGTCTGGGCATGCAGTTCGAGTCTCATACCTGAAGGCTTGCTTTCCTACTTTCCCTTTCTCTATCTCTTGTCAAATTAAACCAATAATGATGATAATAAATGAAATAAAATAATTATTAACAAAAAACCCCATCACATTATATCCCATAAATATACACAATTATTATCTGTCAATTAAAAATGAATTAATAGGGCCAGCCCATGGTTTTGTGATTAAAGGAGCTGGAACCCACATGGCTACTTCATGGTACAGATCTTGGCCTGTGTGGCTTCAGAAACATGCCAGGTACATGTATGTGTGTGCATGTCCCAAAACATAACAGGATAAAAAAAAAAGGAGAAGGGATTTCAGCATCAACATTTCCCATAGGAGATGTTTTCTCCCTTTCCTTCTCTCTATCTGATGAGTGCACATACCCTTTGGAAAAAAGGAAGGAAGGAAGAAAGAAAGAAAGATAGAAAGAGAGGGAGAAAACTAATAATAATTAAAAAAAAGTTATGACATTTTGGGGCTACACAGAAACCTCATATGCAAATGGAATAATAATATCTATCACACGGATTTATTTTTAATCTCTTTTAAAAAAATAATTATTTACTTAACTTTATTTATTTATTTAAATTTGACCAGAGAGGGACAGAAAGAGAGAGGGAAAGTGAGAAAGTAAGCCGCTAGGTCGGGACTCGAACCATGATTGACCATGTGGTAATCCAGAGCCCTTAACCACCACGCCACCTTGTCAGTCCCTACTGAGGGGTTTTTAATTTTATTTAACTTTATTTATTTATTTTAATTTGACCAAAGAAGGACAGTGAGAGGGGGAGAGACAGAGAGAGAGAGAGAGAGAGAGAGAGAGAGAGAGAGAGAAAGCAAGAAGAAAAGTGAGAAAGTAAGCTACCAGGTCCAGGACTCAAACCGCGGTTGGTCATGTGGGAGTTCAGCACCCTTAACCACCATGCCACCTGCTGGTCCTCTACCTCACAGTTTTAATGAGAATTGGGCAGGATAAGTTATGTAAAGTTTATGGGTTTTGGGGTCCGCAGGTGGCATGGTGTTTAAGGGTGCTGGACTCCCACATGGCTGAGTCCTGGATCTGGGGGCTTGCTTTCTCACTTTACCTCTCTCTCTCTCACTCTGTCCCTCTCTGGTCAAATTAAAATAAATAAATTAATTAATTAACTTGTAAAAAATCTAAAAAAGGTTTATTTTATTTTATATTATTATTATTATTTTTGCACAAAGTAAAGTATAAGAAATGGTAGCTATTATTATATTCTTTTTTCTTTTTTTGGAGAGGTTTTTGCTATAGGGCGCGTGTGCTCTCCAGAAAGACAGAGAGAGACAGAGAGACAGAAAGCAAAAAATCAACCCCCAGGAGGAATGGCCACACCACAATCCCTTCTCCATTCTTCTCTCAGGATCTTGGGCATGCACACACCCGCACCTGGCGTGAGTTTAAGCCACCAGGTCCAGGACTTGAACCACGGTCAACTACATGAGAGTCCAGCGACATAGTCATTACACTAACTGCTAGTCTTGCTATTATATTTATTAAGCTCTGTATCTACAGGATAAACATTTGTTTAATAAATACATGAATGAAGAAGCAAATTAATTATGGGATATTTTTTCCAGAATACCTAAAGTGTTAGAAAAATAACAATAAAAATCACTACTAATGGGACCAGCAGTTAGCGTAATGGCTACGTTGCTGGACTCCCACGTAGTAGACCGCAGTTCGAGTCCCAGACCCGGTGGCTTAAACTCACGTTGGGCGCGTGTGCGTACGTGCCCAAGATCCCGAGAGGAGAATGGAGGAGAAGGGATTGCAGCGTGGCCATCCCCTCTGGGGGGTGATTTCTCGCTTTTTATCTCTGTCTCTCTCTGTCTGTCTGGCGAGCACACGCACCCTACAGCAAAAACCTCTCCAAAAAAAAAAAAAAATTACTACTAATAGGCTAGCCAGTGGTGTGGTGTTTATGGCAGCTGGATTCCACATGGCTGACTGCCCAGTTCGAGTCCTGCGCCTGGCAGCTTGAAAAACAAGTCTGGCACGTGTGTGTGCATGCCCAAAATCCTGAGAGAAGCGTGTAGGAGAATGGATTGCTGCATAGTCATTTCCCCTGGGGGCGTGCTTTCTCACTTTCTCTCTCTCTCTGTCTCTCTCCAGTGAGGCCATGTGCCCTATGGCAATTTGAAAAACAAAAACAAAAACAAAGAACTATTAATATTTGTATAACAATTGAGAGTTTATGGAGAGCTTTCATATACATCATCTCACTTGAAAGTCACAGTAAGAAAATGAGTAGGGCAGGTGTGAGACAGTGTGCTGTTCCTAGCCACCTGCGAAGCACAGCAGGGCAGCAATTAGGGCAGTCAGTATGATAGAAGACTGGAATACAGCAAATTTAAACTTAAAAACCAGGTTTGGAGTCTAGGTTCTTCCCCCCAGACACAACATAAAATTACCAACAGGATGAGAAAATGTGCAGAATATAATCGCGTATGGAGGTTTGGTCAATAAGTACCAGTTTAGTTACATTGTCCCAGATAGCCTCCCTTCTCTCACACCTAAAGATGAGCTGCAATGCCTCTGGCAATTAGGGGGTAAAGTGGAAATCCACAGCACCTGAGATAAGGGATCTTTTGATGGTAAGAGCAAGAGATGGTGAGAAAGAAAAATCTGACATTGAGTACCACAAAGGAAGGAATACTGTCCTATCATCTCATTTTCATTGCTGTAACAAAATCCCTAGTGCAGAAAAGAGAGGCTGTCCTATTTCTTGGACCATGACTTCTCCTATTGCTGAAGTCACTGCTCTCTACATTTGTATGATGTTGCTATTCACACAGATGGTAGATGGGTAAGTCAAAGTCAGAAACAGACCAGAAAAAGAGCTTGTGCAAACTGGACCAGAATGGATCGAGACTGATTTTTGCTAGCAAGTAGAGAGGACAGCAACTTAAGCAGTCAGTGAAGAAGGCATGGACCAATACATGGGACCACCCTCCGTTATTGCTCCAGAGTATTCTGCAGCAGTGAAAATGAGTCCACATAGCCTCCAACGCATTATTATCTAGGACAACTGTTCCTCCCATAATCTGGGCTGTCTTTTGTTTTGTTTAGTTTGCTTTGTCTCTACTGATTAGATTTTTGAAAGAGTCATCTTCTGTCCACAAAAATAGAATTTCTGCCTTTACATTCCACACTTCAAGTGTGTACCAAATTCTCATTTCCTTTAAAATGTAAGAATTGAGTCACCGGAAAGCTAGATAGCTATACAATCATCCTTAAAACTGCTTGAAGCAAGGCTTCAGTGAGATGACTCCAACCTCAAACTGTATGGCAAGCGTACGGTTCCCCCCGTGCCTTTATCATGAGAGAGATGATCTTCCTGTAGTCTCTTTTGTTGTGTGCCTGCCTAAGATGCTCTTTCTGGCCCTAATGAGTGAGGCTACAGACACATGTCACCGCTCCTTTCTCTTTACTCCTCTGACCTCAGATAGCATGCAGCCGGATTCTATCCCCATTGTTACTGCAGAAAGTGCTATCCTTAAAGGAACATGCCTTTTGCAATCTTGTAAGAACTCCAGCTGGTCTGGCAAAGGTTGTAACTCTTTATTTTGGGGTGTCTTTAGAGAAGAAACACTTTGCAACTACTTGTTTTCTTATGTAAATTTCTCCTGTGTCTTTAACCAGTATGTTGGAAAACACTTAGGAGACATAAATACTGAAAAGTTCAATGAGAAGAGTTGTAAAAATATCATTAATTATATATAGTGAGAGTCTTTAAAATCAGCAGAAACTTCTTGAATGTACATTTGTATGACACAAAGAAACTTTGATGATGACTACATTAAAAGGTGGGTTTATTCGAAGATATTGAAGAAATTTCAGATGGATGTGAAACTTTGATTGTTTCTAATGCTATTGGTGTCTCTACCAGGAAAAGAAGTATATGTTCCTGGATTGTTGGTATCTAGAGAAAGAGACATGGATGCTACTTTGCTGCCTCTGGATTAAAGAAGCTTTGAGGCATCCAGAACCCCGACAATGAAAGGTGGCTGTCAAGTAATGGTGCTTATGTAGCGTGGGACCCCTAAAAGGAATGGAACTCAGGGTAGGAGGATGGGATTCACGAAGTTTGAGGGAAGGTAAAAGGAGATCCTAAATCTAAATGTATACTCTAAATTCTGGAGGAGCATGTGGGGAATGTTCTAGTTTGCTGGTACTGCAAAGAAAAGTACCACAGATTGGGTGACTTAAGCAGCAGAAATTTATTTCCTCACAGTTCCAGAAGTTAGAAATCAAGATCAAGGTGTCAGCAGGGTTGGTTTCTTTTGAGGCCTCTGTCCTTCACTAGTGGATGGCCATTTTCTCCTTCTGTCTTCATATGATCTTCCCTCTATTTCTGTGTCCTAGTCTTCTTTCTCCCTTTATAAAAAGTTATTTAATGTATTATTATTATCACTATTTTAAAAATTTGCTATAGGGCATGTACATTCACCAGAGAGACAGAAAGAGACAGAAAGTGAGAAAGCAAGTCACCAGGTCTGAGATTGAGACCACAGCCGGCCATGTGGGAGTTTAGTGCCCTAACCTCTAATCTGGACTCTAATCTCGTTTTAAGCATACGAGTTATACTGGATGAGGGTCTATCCACAAGGTCCCATTTTTACCTGTTTACCTCTTTTTTCAATTTTATTTTAATTAATTAATTAAAATTATTTATTTATTCATTTATATTTGTTATTATTATTATTTTTTTGAGAGGTTTTTGCTATAGGGTGTGTGCGTTCGCCAGACATACAGAGAGAGACAGAGAGACAGAAAGTGAGAAATCACCCCCCAGGGAGGATGGCCACGCCGCAACCCCTTCTCCTCCGTTCTCCTCTCGGGATCTTGGGCACACACGCACACGCACCCGGTCTGAGTTTTAAGCCACTGGGTCTGGGATGCGAACCGCGGTCAACTACATGGGAGTCCAGCAACATAGCCATTACGCTAACTGCTGGTCCCATTATTATTATTACTTAACCAGAGAGAGACAGAGAGAGAAAGGGAAAGTGAGAAAGCAAGCTGCCAGTTTCAGGACTTGAACAGTGGTAGGCTATGTGGGAGTCTAGTGCCTTTAGCCACCATGCCACCTGCCAGCCCCTACTTTATTTTATTCATTTAATCATTATACATCACTTAGCTTGTCAATTGAATTTACCCAACATGAATAAGCCTCACATCAGTCTATTTGAGGATACAAAACACGTTATAATCAACAGATAATAATCCATTTCTGTGTCCCATAAATGTCTTCCCTCTTCAATGGTCCTACCTCTAAATAAAGTAGCATTCTGAGGTGTTGGGGTTTGGACTTCAACCTATGAATCTGGGAGTGGGGGTGCATAACTCAGCCCATAAGGGGGAGCATTCTAGGCAGGGACATGAAACCATGAAAGTACGATGGTCGCCGAGTGTCTGCTATAGCAAAAAAGTGTAATGTACTTCTTGGGGGAGTAAAGAGAGATGGGGCTGAAGAGGTAGTGGGATGGGGCTCCCAGGATTAAGGGTCTCTTCTACCAAGCTAAGGAGTTTAGATTTTATCCTGGAGACTATGAGAACACCTGGAAAAATTTAAATTACGGAACTGGCACAACCAAATGTGTGTTTTTAAATGTTCTGTCTGTAACCAAATGTGTGTTTTTAAATGTTCTGTCTGTACTGTAGGAACAAATTGTGGACAGGGAAAGTGTGTGAAGGCCGGGAAACTAATTAGGAAGAGAAAGGTGAGTCCAGGGGACCCCGAGTCGAGCGA